GATATGCCCACATACGAGGATAGTAAATGGCTCATAGTTGACGATTATAATTTTTTCACCACATTCCGAACACGATGGTATTTCTGGAACATCGACATTCTGGACCACGACGTGCTTGGTTTCTTTCAGAATATTCAGAGCAAAATTCTGGAGAGTATTAAGAGACATAAAGATATCGGGTCTCAGAGATGTTTCAGAGGCGGAAGCCTTTTATTTCACAAAATATTTATCTTCAGTCTTTATGCATATTAATTTATTTCCTCTGGGTGCACATTTGTTCTTATGTCTCGTACTAATAAATGTTGTCAGCGATCACAATATATGTTATTAATAACCATACCCTGAAATGTACGGATCGACTGTGCATTTCCTTGACCGCACGTCAAATTAGTACAGTATATACTATATAATTATTACCAATCATGAAGAGGCAAGCATCAAGTCTTTGACTCACCTATAAAAAAAATAAACACATTAGACTGTGGTACCACAGAAGTATTGTCAATAATTATTGTGGCAGATCAAAACGACATCGGATTAAAACGACTCGGGGGCCTTTTTGGAATGAGAGTGATCATAGATCACGCTATTGATAGGGTTAATAATTGTCGTAAATAGCTACACAGGTGAAACCAAAGCGATATTTAATTATGAAGAAGTATGTCGTTATCTGGATGTAACACATCGGATGCAAATCTAATTTTGGATTTCGAATTTTTTTGTGGCACAATATAAAAAATAGAGTAGACATCTCCTATAACAAAATTGTCGGAAAAGTAACCGGAGGATTAGTAGTTATACAAGTCAATGATTTCATCCGCTTCCGCCACTGCATCTGGTCTATCACTGAATTGAAATGGCGTTACCTTATCTGGAGCTACTCCTCTTGGCCGATAATTCACGACAACATAGTTCTGCGTCGGAGATATGTTATTATCTGGGCTGTGTCTTAATGATTCTTGTGCAATTGTCATGGCGTGGGCTAGGTTTTTGGCTCCATGCGCTACTATAGCGTATACTGCACCCATTTTGCGCAAATAACGCGGAATAAGCCCATACGATTTTAAATATTTATTTAACCGTTTAGCTCCGAGTTTACCTGGATTCTCGAGTTTTCCAGATGATATAGCATTCTGTATCCAGGTTAGTAGTTCTTTGGCACGTTTTTGATTTTTTTCTAGAGACCTAAATGTTCGTGGAGTATCTCCTTGGCCCCGATTCTTTGCATAGCCTGTAACGCCGGCATTTGTAATACGTAAAGTTGTAACTTCAGCTGGACGCATACAAAGCATTATCATAACATCAGCAAGAGCTTGCAAATCAGGGAATGTCTTAATATTATACCTATCCAATCTTTCCTTAACCGATTCTAAGGTAAAATGATCTGGGTAATCGATTTTTTTAAAATCCTCGGCAAATTTTCGGTGATTTTTTTGAATTTCGTTAGCTTTCTCGGTAATCTCAGAAAATTTTGTCGCTTCAACTATATTATAGGGAGCATTAAGATTTCGTAATTCTCGTCGAAGCCGAGAGAGCCTAGAAGACCCAGCATTTTCATTCAATGCTGACGTAGCCAACTTTCGTGATTCAGACTTCACATCCTTTTCACCAAGCTTATCTCGTAAAATCCGTTGTGCTAACTCTTTAATGGTTTCTGGCATGTAAGTTCCCTTGCTCTGCGGTGGTACCACTGAGTCTGAATTTGTTGAAACTTTATTTAGAGTTGTAAGAT